TAGGGATCTTAACTGAATCTTATCCATCTTTATATTTAACCTCCTGTACATGCATTATTATTCTTAATACATTGAAATGTTTTAGAAAGGCAAAACTAGGAGCAACTGTACAGAACTCTGGATATCAATTGTGGGAAGATGGGGTGCAGCGGAGTGCAGTACTGGGAGATTTTTGGGAGGAAAGTGCAGGGTCGGGGCAGCAATGTGAGGTAATGATCAAGTAGATAAATTTCAAGGCTTCTCTTTGCTATGTGTTTCTTCCCTACTGCTTCCCCCTCCTTTATTTTAAAGGAACATTGTTGGGAAAAATTTAAGGGGTGGTCTCATTTTCTTTTTCTATTTTAATTTACAAAGCTGTATTTTATATATGTCCAAATGCTCTAAATAGCTGGGATTTTGCAATTTTTGGAATTGTGGGATGGGACTAGAATAGAAACTTAGAGAAAAAGGAAGAATGGAGTTTGAGTGGTGCAGGGAAGCAAGGAGGAGATCTTTACCTCATCCTCTACTCCCACCCCTGATTCTCTGCACTACTCCTATGAAGAGCAGTTATTACCTCCTGTATTAGTTACCTATTGCACTGAAACAAATTACTCCAAAACTTAGTGGCGTTAAACAACATTTCTTAGCACAGCGCTGTGGAGCAGAAATCTGGGCTTGGCTTAGCTAAGTCCTTAAGCTCAGGGACTCTCACACGACCCAGTCAAGGTGTCTTAGGTTGAGGCTGCAGTCATTTCAAGGCTCAACTTTGGAAAGATTTGCTTCCAAGCTCACTTATGTGGTTGTTGGCAGGATTTAGTTCCTCATGGGCTGTTGGAGAAGTCCCTGGGTGTTATAAATGGTTAAGTGTTTGACTACTAACCAAAAGGTTGACAGTTCAAACCCATCCAGAGGTGCCTCAGAAGGAAGGCCTAGCGATCTGCTTCTGAAAGTTCACAGCCTTGAAAACCTTATAGAGTGCAGTTCTACTCTGCACGCATGAGGTCGCCATGAGTCGCAATCGATTAGACGGCAACTGGTTTAGTTTTTTTGGGGCTGTTGGACTGAAGTGGTTGTTGGCCCAAGGCTGCCCTCAGTTCCTCACCCTCTCCATCAGGCTGCTCATGACATGGTAGTTTGCTTCATCAGAGCGGGCAAGCAAGAAGAGCCAGACAGAGAGAAAGAGAACATGTGCGCAAGACCAAGTTACAGTGTTTTATAACCTAATCTCGGAAGTGACTTGTTAGAAGCAAGTCACTGGATCCAGCCCACACACAAGGGGAGAGGATTACACAAGGGTGTAAATACCAGGAGTCAGGGATCTTCAGGAGCCATCTTAGAAGCTGCCTCCCACACTCCCATTTTACAAATCAAGAAACTGAGACTCAGGTTCAGGAACTTCCTCAAGGTTACCAAGTAATATGCTGGACCAGGATTCAAGCCCAGAGCAGCCTTCTCTTTTAATCACTAAGCATATAAACAAAGTCACCTTATACAGTAAAACCTGTGAAAGCCGGCAACTGTAAGGCAGAAACCTGTCAGAGAAGGAAAACTCAGTGGGTGTTTATGAAGTAGGATTCTTAATAGAGAGTGATAGAAAAGCACCCTGTCAAAGGCAGAAAACTTGAGACACCCAGAAAAATAAGACAGTCCCATTGAGTTCTGGCTCTCGTGGGTTTCACTGTATAATATTTAAAGTAGTAGCTATTATGTATGCTTATATGTTCTCTCATTCAGTCTTCACAATACCCCTGCTAAGTAAACCTGTTGCCATTGAATTGATTCCAACTCAACAACCTGATAGCGACCCTATTGGACAGAGTAGAACTGCCCCATAGGGCTTCCAAGGCTTTAATCTTGACAGGAGCAGATTGCCACATCTTTCTCTTGTGGAGCAGCTGGTGGGTTCGAACTGCTGACCTTTTGGTTAGCAGCTGAGCACTTAACCACTGCACCACCAGGGCTCCTTAACCCTGCTAAGCAGATTAATATAAGTCCCATTGGTAAAGAGAAGAATGGATGAATAAATTAAGAGATGTAATCATTTGCCCAAGTCCACAAAGTGGCTGAGTATATTACCATTCCTAAAGAAAAGAAAGAGTGGAGAACTGTGGAGAAGATGTTGGCTTGGCCAGGGGAAGTAGAGGCACTCTAGGCAGCCCACTTCTGCTTTCTCTGTTGCAGGACCAGGAGGGTCAATAGACCAACCCTTGGCCTAGGTGAAAAGATCCCACCGCACCATTGGCCCCTCTTAGCACTGCTCCCAGGCTCACCAGACCACCTCCAATGATTTAATGTCACTTGTCCTAGATGAATTGGAAACTGAGGATCCCTGGTGGCACAACAGTTAAGAGCTCAGCTGCTAAGCGAAAGGTTGGTTAAGAGCACAGCTGCTAACAGAAACGTTGGCAGTTCAAACCCATGTAGCAGCTCTGTGATCTCCTCCTGGAAAGATTACAGCCTAGGAAACAGCCTAGGGCAGTTCCACTCTGTCACATGGGGCAGCTGTGAGACGAAATTGACTCCACTGGCACCCAACAACGAGATGGAAACTGGACAGGAATCATGCTCATGCTCCAAACTCCACAACCTTTGAACCCTCTTGTCTCAGAGCTTTGACGCAAGTTCTTCCCTCTGCTAAGAATGTGCCCCACACTACTTTTACCCAGTAAACTGCTACCCCAGCTTCAGCTCCCAGCTCAAATATTACTTCCTTGGGAGGTCTTTTCTGACTGGAAGACTAGGTCAGGTCTATTCTCCACACATGTTCTTCTAAGTGTCACATTTATCACAGTTCAGCAAAATGTGGTGTGGTAAAGGGTAAGCTCAATGGAGACGGGACATGTCTGTTTTGCTCACTATGTATCCCAATGAGTCCAGCACAGTGCCTACAAAGAACAGGCAGTTAATGAGTGCTGCTGTTATTATTCATTGAATGACAGAATTAAGAAACGTTACAATTTATTGAATTATTGTGATGCCTCCTGTGGGTGGTTCCAGGATCAGCCAGCCTGTTTTCCCCAGGATACCTCTGTCCTCCAGTAACCTCTGCTTAATTGTTACCTTTCCAAACCTCTAAAATGTTAATTAGAAGATGACTGAAGGACTTCCTGACTTACTGTGTAAACACTTAAAGGGACTTCCAGAGACCACTGGGGAAATTGGTAGTTTAGTTAGAATTCTCGCCTTCCGTGCAGGAGATCTGCTTTCAATTTCTGGTCCATGCGCTTCGTGCGCAGCCACCACCCCTCTGTCAGTGGAGGCTTGCTACAATGCTGAACAGGTTTCAATGGAGATTCTAGACTAAGACAGACTAGGAACAAAGGCCTGGGGTCTACTTCCAAAAACTCAGTCAATGAAAAGCCTATGGATCACAACAGTCTGATCCGCAACTAATCATGGGGATGGCACAGGACGGGCAGCATTTCATTCTGTTGTGCACGGGGGCCCCCATGAGTCGGGGTAGGGGTAGGGGTGACTCAACAGCAGCAAACAACTACAGATACCGCTAGCTTTGTATTCTTGTGACCCTGAGTCATGACTGTAGGGGTTGGGCTTTCAGGCTCTGAAGGATAGATACACCCATAACAGGGAATGCTGCTACAACAGAAATACCACAAGAGGGTGGCTTTAACAAACAAATTTATTTTATCAGTTTAGAAGGCTAGAAGTCTGAATTCAGGGTGCCAGCCCTAAGGGAAGGCTTTCTCTCTTATCTCTTGAGGAAGGCCCTTGTCTCTTTGAGTGTCTGCTCCTGGATTATCGTCACGTATCTTGGCATGTGTCTTCCCCCTACCTCTGCTTCTTAGCTTGCTTGTTTTAATCTGTTTTCTATCTCAAAAACTTCAGGAGCTCTGGTGGTACAGTGGTCAGGCGCTCAGCTGCTAACCACCAGCTGCTCCGCGGAAGAAAGATGGGGCAGTTCTATTCTGCCCTGTAGGTCACTGAGTTGGAAACTCAATAGCAACGGGTTTTTTTGATATCTCAAAAGAAATTGACTCAAGACATACCCTACACTAATCCTATCTCATTAACAAAGACAACCCATTCCCAAATGGGATTATAACCACTGGCGTAGAGGTTAGGATTTACAACATATATTTTTAGGGGACACAATTCAAGCCATAACAGGGGGTGCCAGATGTTTTGGGGTAGGGGACCTTATTTCAGAACCCTTCAAATTGCAGGGCCTACTCTGGAAGTGTGGAAAGGGTTTTAATAGGAGAGAAGCATTATTTCATTTAAAATAATGTTTAAAAAACTTTATAAGGACATTGAAAAATGCATGTGCCATAACATATAAAGTAAAAAATTATGCACAGTATATACGTTCATCATTTGATCTCATTTATGTAAAAATATGCATTCCAAGGAGAACGATGAAAAGGAAATCAGGAAAACAATACCATTTATAATAGCCCCTAAAAAAATAAAATACTAATGAATAAATCTAACCAG